TAATAGTAACGAAATGAGAAAAACAAACTTCATTGTAAAACCAATAAATACCTCGGTCATCTGCTCGTGATATAGAAACAGGTAACAAAAGATTTGATGATTTAACGATCCGCGCTCAAAGCTCAAAAGTTATATCACTTAAAAGTATAATATTTGTGCCTTATCGTTTCACACAACTTTGTATATATTAATAATGTATGGACAGTCAGAATTTTATTTCAGTGGAGGATTAGGGTCATGCCTTATATAAATATCGTCCCGCAATAAGTGGCGTTCCAGCATTTGTTCTGACACCCTTTAAAATTTTTCCCTCCTAACAAAATCTCATTAACCACCATAATCAATACAAATTGTTAGTAATTTTTTTATTAGAAAATGTAGAATAAATCGTAAAATGGCAATAACGTCGATTTCGCAACCACTTGAATTACGACCCGAAGTGGCTGTGTATGGAGACAGTCAGCTTGAATTCTTAAAACGTAAATTAAAACACTAGATTTGAAACTAATTCTATGATTTGTTTTAAACAATTATTTAAAAATGGTTTAACAAAAAATAATGTAATTTTAAGGATTGATTGATTTTAGATAAAACTGTATCCGAACCACGAATTAAGATATACAAGGTGCAACAGATAGAACTGACTTTTGGAATAACTTTCGTTCAAATAATTAATGTTTTTTATTCATTTATTTTTTCGTTCATTAAGTGACCCTAGCGCTACATGTACAATAAATTTTTTTATGTTTGTTTTTCAGTACTGAAAATAAAAAAAAAATTTAATTTAATTAAAAAAATGTTTGAACAAATTCGAAATAGCCTTTTTGTGAAATCAGATTACAAGAACGATTTTGATGGTAAAAATATTTATCTAAATCAAGTAGTTTATTTTTTAGAATTTTTTTGGTTAAATGGAACGTAATAACTTTTAAAAAAATATGATTTTTGAGAATTTGCTGACATGAGTATCTTTCTTAAATTATTTACTTATCACAATAAAATATATTAACAATTATTGCCATACGTTGAATTAGCATTTATTTTTTATTTTTATTTTTTTTGGTCAGGTCTTTCTGTTACACTAAAATCCTGTTTACTCTTGCCTATTATCGTCTACTATAACAGTATATTTCTATGAATATTTAATTACGCTAAACCAACGAGACGATTCTACGAACTGATTTACAATTATTTTCTGAAAGTTTGCGACTGCAGTGCCCCTTTACCTCTCGGCGATAGTCTTATGTAGATTCATAATAATTATAGCATCTTTATGATTCCCAGTATTCGCTCTCCCGTGTTACAGTTTTGTCCATAAACGGTAAGACGAGCTGACGAAATAAATATACATAATATACGAATTTGAAATAATTACTATCGCAGCGGCTTTAATAGGCCATGGAAATTTAGATTTTCTTAAAATTTCTCAGAGCTGCGCCAACTCAACCCACGCCCATAAATATACGCCCCTGTATACACACGGACAAAATCAAATCGTGTTTGACTTAAAAATAATATCGGCTTATATTTTCTGTGAACATTTCAATCAATTTTATTTACGAATAAACACTATACATTATCCGATAGACCGGTCGGGATCGCTAACCTTTTACAAGTCAGGGTCAGCTACAATTTTTTAGTATCTGGTATCGACCACTATTTTATTTTAATTGTTAATTGTATAATTACATGCATCTTCTTTTATTATTTTTCTGTCGGAAAATTGTACGCTTTTCATCTGCACTTATATGAATACTTTAATTATAAAATATAATGCGTAAAAGTGTGTTTATGATTAATTTTATGAAATAGTTAATTTATTATTATTATTGAATTTAATTATGATATTTTTGATTTGTTTTTAATCTTGTCAGTTATTTTTAAACTTTTTATTTTATTTTGCTTGAAACACTAATTTCTAATTTCCTCGAAAATGTGTTTTCAATCCAGACTAAGTTGTATAACAAGCCATCGGCGTAATTTATGTTGTAAATTTGTATACGTTCGTCACAGGATTCGATTATTCGTTCTTCCTATTTATAGGAAGAACGAAAGGACTTTTTTCAATTAAGCTAAGCTCTACTAAAAATAATAATTCGATTACGTATTTATCACAGAAACTTTCAAGTTAAGAAATATATATTCTCTAACACTCGACGTAGTCCTTATTTAAGATACGTTTTTGTTTTAAATCATCGCGTTATTTCATAAATACATTTTCTATTAAAAAGTTGTTTCATAACAAATTTTCGTTCACTATATTTTCAATAGTGTGCTGTTTTAGTTTTGATAACAGAAAGAATTGACCTATTATCAGACTTTGAGGTAAGAACATTATCTGTGTTTTCTAGTTGGTTTTTTACGATATTCTAATTTCTAAATGAGTTATGCGTGTGTAAAGTAAAAACATTTGAAAATGCATATTATATCGTTAAAAGCCAACGAGAGAACACAGAAATTAATAATTTCATCTATAAAAGTTCGAAAATTTGCTACGTATGGCGTATCCAAATTTTCGTCCACTTTATTTTCAATGGCGTATACAGTTAGGTTTGATATCAGAGTGAATTGGCCTATTATAAGACTTATAGGTGGTAAGAATATTATTTGTGGTTAAAAATTGGGTAGCGTTTTTATTTTTATTTTTCTGATATTTTCATTTTCAAACAAGACATGATGGATATATGCGAAATATCAAAAATAAAAAATGTTTACTTGAAAATTAAAATATCGAACAATAGTCGACGCTTAAGCACATGTGTTAATTTTTTAATCTATAGTGTACGTCATAATGAGAGGTATAAATTCACTCCAATATCAAAACTAACAGCACACTATTGAAAATAGTTGAACGAAAATTTGACATGTCGTGTTGTCAAGCGTAGGTATATAGACAATAAACGTGTGAATAACGTCCTCTCCTCTTAAGTTTATTTGATTTAGTTACAAATGTTTTACAGCATTTACGAAAAAACAACATACCTACTACCTACAAGTACCTACTACTTTCTTAGAAATCTAAATATTTATGTGTTTAAATTGATATTTCTGCAAAATGCTTTAAAAAAAAAAAACACTTTCCAGAGAAATAGTAGATAAAAGTTTCAAAAGGTACTTTCGCGTTTTTTCAAATTCCTAGCGAGCTCCATTAATACAATAATGTATTCTTCTGTTAACACTTTTTAATTTTTAAATACGTTTTTGATAATATTTATATGTAGGTATATGGTACATTTTTAAACTGTATCCAAACAATATTTTGTTTATGGGATATCTTTTAGTATGCAATAAAGTTCATATTTCCAACTCAAAGGCGATAAATCATTGTTTTCAAATTTGCAATAATAATAATCCATTATTATTATTATTATTATTATTATTATAAAACCTAATATTATTCTGTTATTCACCTCTGCAACCTATATGAATGCAAAGTTAGACGAGTGCTCAAAAACGACAAACATTTGATCGATTTCCGCAGTGTTCGGTATAATTACTATTTCATATTATACATCACGCAAGTGTTTAACTGCGCAATGTTCAAAATTCAAATTGCAAATACCTACAAAAGTTTACTAACCATAACGGCCGACATCTCGGAACAGAGTATAATAAATACAGATACCACCATCTTTCGACACACTGCAACGTTGATATAGCTAGGGATATGCCAAGTACATTTTCTGCGAAATAGTTTTCCACGCCTACTGTATAAACATAACTCGTGTAATTAAATAATTTAATTATTGTGTTGGTGATTCGAAACCATGCGCCATTACCGAAAATACAGACGATTTGTGCATAATTCTACTGTGGCAAATATTTGTTTTTATTTGAATGGGTTTCTATTACTCATCGTTATCAATAGGGAACGACTTTTCAATCATCGTACAACAATAAACAAATATATATTATGTCAATGAGCGTATATAGTATATGCATGGGGCTATGGGAATTGGGGGCTATAGCCCCACACAAACGTTTGTAGTCCCCTCACGGTTAAAACATCTCATCATCGGAAATTATATAAGTTTTAAATGTTTTTATAACTTTCCCCCGAGTCTTCTTCCAAGTCATTCAAAGCCTATTGTATTTTATATCATTCTTACCACACCATATTTATTTATTGTATATATAGGAATATAGTGAACAGATTGAAAATTCTCAACAAAAAAAAAACTTTCCCTGAAATTCATAAAGGCTTCAAATATTAACAGTGTGATGTTTATTGACAATATTATTGTATACTTATACATACATATTATTATACCCATTTATTTTTATCATAAACACGTTAATTTATACATTTTTAGTGTGAATATAAATAGTTTTTTTTTCTTGAAAAATTCGTCTTTCCATATTTGAGTTGGAATTTTCGAAATACATTTTTTTTAGTCCTATACAGCCTCCATCACAGTTAATCATACCAAACTATACGCCCGTAATAAATACGTCGTGCCTATATAGCCCTATGTCTCTCGACGACGCGGAAGTGTCGCTTGAAATTTAACCGTATACAATAAAAATATAACCAAAAATAAAAATAAGTTGCGATTATCCGAGCTTAGTTCGAACTATAATAATATTATGCAGAACACTCAATCACTGCAAAGTACACCGAGACAGTGCGGCTTTGCTTACGTTGCACACACCTATACTATTTATATGCGTAAGTAGGTAATATTATAATAGACGGCGACACCAAATAATAATGGTTGTGACCTTATACGGATAGTTTGTCGGCGGCGGTATAAGTCAACCTTTGTCCATGTGAATTATTTTCGTCATTAGTCTAGCACGCTCTTATTATTACTATACCTACTTTTATTTATATATATATTATATTATTATATTATCATTTTGTGTTGTGCGTCTTGTGCGTTTACGGACAAAATGTATTGTAATTATATGATGTGTTGTCGTATAATAATTAATGTCGTTACTTAATTTATCGCGTAAACCTATACAACTGTAATTTTAATTAATTCAATGCCGTATGTTTTGCAGCGCCTTACAACATACGAAACTTAAACGACGCCGTTTTCTCCAACCCGCTGGGGACAAAACAGTGTACAGTTTCAGGAGTGCTTTATAATCACAGTCAAAAGGTTAGTATTATACAGTGTGCTATTTTAACGTTTTATTACAGCCGTAAAGATTAATTTTATAAGTTTATTATTATTATTATGTATATGTCGACGATGGACCGCCGCCGTTTGCACCAAAACGTATAGAATGCACACATTATTTTTGATTCGATGCAATTAAGAACTTAAATGATATTGTTTAACTGCACTATGTGAATAATAATATAATAATATTATGCTTTGTACCTGCAGTGGCGCCAAAATCCAAAATTTTACCTATGAAATTAGCGGAGCATTCGAATTGCGTCCCTAAATGATATTTTGTCCGAGTTGCGTCCACAGGTTTTTCAGCGACTGAGAATAATGTTAGATGATACACTCGTAGATATCTCAATTATCGATATCTTATCTGTAAATACCCCTTTACAATTTATTAATTAATTTTGTTCATGTTAGCATCAGTCACACTTCGACATTCCATGTTCGACAAATCAACACAAATCGAACCAGGCGCGCACCCAGAATTTTTGTTTGGAGGGGGCTTAATAATTACACACAAGTAAACAATTAAATATTTTTCCCAACATGACATCCGTAAAATGGTCAGCTTTTAAATTAGCTTCTTTATGATAATTTAAACTTCCGTGTTTTTCGAATTTTTCTAAGCCTTTTTTCCAATTATTGTACCCCTTTTTAACAAATGTATGAAGTGATTGGTTGGAACTATAACCAGCCTCAGAAGGTGAAAATAATACGCAAACTTTACAATAAGCACTATCTTMAATTTTTGAATATGTTAACCATTTGTATTTAGTTAACCATAATATATTAAATTTTCTTTTTTGATTGCCAATTTGTTGATTGGGAAAATTATTATTATTATCTGGGACCCACACATTTTGTAAGACTTCAATTTTTTGTTTGTCGTCGAGCTTTTTATTTACAAATAATGATATATCTAAAGAAGAAAAATTTTCATAATTACCAACAATATCAGATGTTGACGGTAACGGTGAAGCGAAAAGTTTTTGAGGACTGGGCGGTTCATTGTTTGTTGACATTTTTGGTTTAATAGTAATATAATTAAGAAGACT